GACACACAGATACCTTCCCACCAACAGCACAAGAAGAAGAACTCCACATGGACTCCTCCTGAGGGCCGAAATGACAGTCTGGACCTCTACATAGAGTGCTTTCAAACAGTCATTTTAAACTTCAAGGATGAAACTCTTCCTTTCAAAAAAAGTTGAAACTAAATGTTTTGACAATTTTGAATGTTTAAAAAAAAAAAGTTGGGAGACATGTCAGAACTTGACTTTGTCTCATGAGTAGTTTCATTGTCAACAAAATGCCATTTTTTTGAGAAAAAAATTCTCTCTAAAATTCCCAACCAGTACTAGTTATCAGAAAGGATTATGTGCTGCTATTCAAGCCACTGTTTCCCAGAGACAAGAGGTACTCAGGACAATCACTTGGCAGGAGTCACAACAGCCTAGAAATAAACACCATGTTTGATATGTCAGTCTGTGAAACATACAGTGGGAAACAAATATTTAACCTGAAAACTAAGTACATAAAATGATATAAACAATATACAAATGTGTGCACACGACAAACACACATCCATTATAACAACAGGAAGTGAACGGTACACACATTACAGCAATGTAAGACTTCCACACATAAACCTATAATGGGAAGTGAAATCCCTGCCAATTACCACTATAACATCTTAATAAATTCTCCATTTAATGCTCAATTTTTATTTCATGACAGCTTATATCTAAATCAAAACAGGAACCAAAAAAATTACCTCCTCCAACAACTGTATAGAAAGATCTATTGCAGTCTAATGGCTACTGCAGAATAATGACACATCACTTGAATTAGGCTGAAGAATTTGATTTATAAAAAAGAGTGATCTTAAGTGGTATAATAATCGTAAAGGAGGCAAGGTCATGGTTGCTACATGCAGAAACAGCAAATGTAAGTACCCCCCAAAAAGGAGTCTCTCTTCCCCAGTCTTTCCCATTAAAGTCAGTGTCTTTCCAAAATGTGCAATTATATTTAAAGATCCAATGAACTCAGTGATAGCATGACTGGGTCTTCAGTGACTGAACACTGCAACGATGTTGTGAGCTAACATCTCTGTTTAAGAAGAGTTTGGGTCCTGTACTTTGGCTATGAAATCAACTAGCACAAAGGAACTAAAAATGCTAATTTTATTCTGGATTTGCACTTTGTTTTGTAGTATTCCACTCCAGTTATGGCACAGATCATCATGATTAACTCAGTCAGCAGTAGCTCAAAGCCACCACTGGTTATCTTTCTGCCCTGATAAACAGGGATCTCCAAATATAAAGGCGTTGGAACAAATTTGCCCAGGGTCACTTGGTTTGCTAGCAAGGACATTTCAGTATTTTTAACAATATGTTTTGTTTTAGGAGGTCAGTGATTCTTGCCTGGGCATTTATTTTCTAACTATAGCATCTAGGTAAGATTTTTTTAAAACTCAGACCATCAGAGTCTGTACTACACAGCGCTTGTAAATAACAAAATTCTCGCTGAATCTAAAGTAGGAAATGCCCTACAATTCCCATGAATGAAAAAGAATAAAGGTCAAGCACTTTTTCTGTTCAAGGAAATAAGTGTAGAATAACCAAAGATAATTTTAAAACACTCTATCCATCTAAATCACTTTTAATAGCTGTGTTGCAGACAAAATTAATGATATTGAACTGTTTGTGGTTTTTTTTGTGAACTGTATGCTTCTGATTATGTGTTTAGGGCCATTATGTATAATTCAATACCCTTTGACCAAAAAAACAAAGGTTGGGGGAGGGGAATCTCAAATAGAATGGAGTATCTCTCTATATTTCACTCAAGGAAGTTCAAGTATCATGGGACATACATCCTTTTCCTTTGACCAAGACCACGTGGAAGACTTTGAATAATGTAGCACACAAGATAGAATCTGAATTTTCTTGGCTAACCTAGTGAGGAGGTCTTAAAACTAGGTTCAACGGGGACAGGTGACCAAAGCCCACAGGTAAGTGAAGAACATGGAGACCTGGGAGATGGGTCAGAAATGGGAGGGAGTGTGGGCTATAATAGCAGAGAGAAAGGAGGGACAAGGCAGAATTGGGAGGCAAGATCAAATCAGTATCTTAGATGACTATCAAGAATCAGAGGGGTAGCCGTGTTAGTCTGAATCTGGGTCTTTGCCCACAAAAGCTTATGCTCCTACACTCCAGTTAGTCTTTAAGGTGCCACAGGACTCCTCGTCGCTCATGCCAGTGTAGACGTAGCCAGTATGTTTAAGACTTAGCTTGAGGGATCAGTAGCAAGAGTTGCTGAACTTCTAAAGAGACAAAGATCATATTTCATCATAAAAAGAGCCTTGCTGAGCCAGACCAATGGTCCTTCTAGCCTAGTATATCATCTTCCAACAGTGGCCAAAGCCATGTGCTTTACAGTGAATGAACAGAACAGGCAATCATCAAGGCTTAGTTTACACTACAGGGGTTTTATGCAAGAAGCCTTTTGCAGAAGAGTTCTTCTGCAAAAACTTCTTGTGCAAAACCACGTCCAGACCTCAAGCACAGGTGCTCTGATGGCCATTCTATGAATAGCCATCAGAGCTTACTTTCTGAAGAGTATCCATGCAAGAGAGCGTCCACGCTGCATGGATACTCTCTCGAAAGTAAGCTCTGATGGCTATTCACAGAATGGCCGTCAGAGCACCTGTGCTTTTCCTGACAGGGGTTTCTTGCACAAAACCTCCTCCGGAGTGTCCACACCTGCCTTTTTGCACAAGAGTTGTAGCACAAAAAACAGTTATTCCTTGTGGGGAGAAGAATACTTCTACTGGCAAAAGCCCTCTGTTCCGTCAATTTTCTTGCGCAAAAATGTGCTTGAAGTGTGGATGCTCTGCCGGTTTTTGGGCAAAAACCTTGTAGTGTACACATAGCCCAAATGATCCATCCTCTGTGGCCCAATCCCAGCTTCTGGCAATTATAGGCTAGGGAGGCTCAAATTCTTGGGTCTTCCGTGAACTAACTTAATGCTTTTTTTTAACCCTGTTATGCTTCTGGGCTTCACAACATCTCCTGACAAATATCTTTCTGTAATAATAAAAAAAGGAGAGAGGGGAATCAGCAAATCTTACAATATTCACAGAATTGTTTCTACATAGGATGTTTTTCAGATTTCCCTGTGGGATCAGCAGTTCTTTAAAGTTAAGACCTGAATCAATAAGAATCAAGGAATCCAAAGTGAATGCTGATGATGTTCCTTTCTGCCCTCATGTTTCTGTGGCTTTTATTTTTCTTATAGCCTAAATTGGACAGAATTTTCTCTGTGATCATTTACACAAACACTATTTAAAAGGAGATTTTCATATTTGATACGAAATCTTTGATTGAGACATGGATTCCTCCAGGGTATTTGTAATATGATGCAGTCTGTTCTGATTATCAGGTGCACCAATTTCTCTCTGCCAAGATTTCATATTTCTGACATAGGAAATTGATTTCCAGGGTGTGGGAGAGGTGGAGGCTTAAGCATTTATCACTACAGCTTTGACCTTTTCTTCCCGAGGGTGAGAAAGTTGAGGATTTCTTTATTACCAAACCTCTGTGAAGCTGTCGTGCTACTTGTTTAAAAAGTATACTGGTCCATTTGGTGGCACTAAGCCAGCCAGAGAAGGATGCAGGGAAGAGCCCACAATAAAAGAGACTCCCAATTTAGCAGTTCAGCCAACTTGTTGAATTCACTACAGATAATCTGAGGGACATAAAAAAGCCCAAAGGAATCTAATATTGGCAGTAAATATGGAAATACAGTGTGCCATCCATATCAAACGTAGTTATAAACATTCTCCTTTATTTTCCTTCTGGGTAAGAAATCCTGCCAGAAAACCCCACGTAGTCTGCTTGGCAAGAAGACAAACAAGAAAACATCCATCGTAAGCGTCTCTCGGCTTAGTGGTGTGTCATCTCCCCATAATCGAACTCCTCTGGGCAGCATAAGTTCTCTAGTCCCCAGCTCTGAAGACAATGCCAATGTGAATACAGCAACCATTGATGTTGCCAAGGAATGTGAAGACAGTGAGTCTGTATATAGCAGACAAACCAAAGAGGATGAAGAGCCTATTTCCTACTGTAAGTTGCCTTTACTTGACTGCAAAGTAACAAATGTATTTGTTTCCACCATTGCCAAGATCTTTATCTTAAAGAAACTTCTGGCTGTAAGAGTTTCTATGACTTTCAGCAGGTCACTTAACATCTCCAATTCTTCTTCTCTTTATCTGCACCATGGGGGCAATAAAACATAATAACATTTAATTAATGTTTGTAAAGCGTTTTGGCATCCTTGGATGTATGGCACTGCACAAGTGCATGGTATTAATTTATCAGTCAGCACATAATGCTTTCTCCATTACCAGGTTTCTTATATGCATCATCTATACAGGTGTTTTCCTTTGTGCTAATAGACTACAGGAAAAAACTATTCCAGTAATTCCATTTGTTTTATTAATGTATATAGTCTTCCTCCTCCTTCATTTTTGCAGATTAGCATTATTGGAGGAGTTGGGTTTGATTTGCTAGATTATCATGTCCAGTTCTCAGCTCAGGAAACTTTCAGTGCCGGTAGTTTTGGACCTCCTTTTATTAAGTACTAAAGTTTAATCCTCCCCCATTGTGTTATAGTGATCAGGAGAGGGGAGTGTGTCTCAGAAGATCGTGGTATGTTTTATTTTTGGTAACCTTTATCAAGGCCAGATTATCCATTAGGCACAGTGCCTAGGGCCTATGAAAAATTTAGGGCCTAAAAAATTCATAATTGACTCAAGAATAAGAAAAGAAAACTGCTAAATGACACTTAATAATTTGCTATTTTTATTAGAATACATGTGCAAATGCTGAAGATCTGTTAAATGCAGGTCAACAAACAGCGAAGCGGTATAACATACAGTTCAATATTTACTTTGTGACTCTTTTTGTTAGCAATATCACAGATTACATCTTCAAATGTCATTTTTCTCAAAAGTTCACTCTCAGTTGAAAGTAGTGCAAGGGAAGATAGTCATTTCTGTCCCATAGTACACCGAAGACAGTTCTTTATACGTTTTAACTTTGAAAAACAGCATCCCCATTCACAGTTTGTTCCCAAGATGGCAAGATACATTCTGAAAGCAATACTGACATTTGGAAAACTTGTCACCAACTTGCCTGCTTTTTGTGCACTGATCATTGCTGCCACAGGTTTTTTCTGTGCATACATACTTGCTCAGGGGCTGCTTCACAGGGAGCTGCCTTACTGGGGGGACGGGTACTTCTCCTTCAGCAGCAGCCACAGTTCCATGCTGGAGATGGATATTTATATCTAGGGTTTTTGATTGTAGTGGAGATACACTTAAGAAAATTCAGCCTGCCCAGGGATGGAAAATGTTAGTGGGAACACTGCTTATTACTATAGTGCTTGCATTTTACAGTTGTGTTTCAGAAACCCTAGGCTACTACTAAGCACTGTTTATGACAGAAATGTATGGGCAGCATCAGCCAGTGTACTGTTATGTTATAAATGACACTGAATGATCTCAAGACACAATGTTGCCAAGTTATCAGCTCTGCAGCACAATACAATGCTCTGGATTTTACAGTCGTAGCGGTGGCAACATCACTTTACTTTTCTTATCAGCCAATTAGCTATCAGGTGAATCCTAAATAGAATTGTAGTATATGACAAAATGGTTGTTATTGTAGAATGAAGTACGGGTTGAACCTCTGTAAACCACGACTCTGGTCTGGTAGGGCCATGAATGTTTGAGAATAAATTTAATATATGGAGATCTACCTATCTCATATAACTGGAAGGGACCTTAAGAGGTCATGGAGTCCAGTCCCCTGCCCTCACAGAAGGACCAAGCACCCTCCTTGACAGTTTTGCCCCCAATCCCTAAATGGCCCCCTCAAGGATTGAACTCACAGCTGTGGGTTTAGTAGCCCAATGCTCAAACCACTGAGCAATCTCTCCCCCTCTGCAGAATACCACGAAGACCAGGCAGTGGAAGAGGAAAGAACAATTTCTCAGCACATCCTGGTGAAGGGCTGGAACCTAGGAGCCCTGAGGGCTGGCAGAGCTGTGGACTGCTTGCCAGTGGGCCAGGAGCCTAGATCCCTGCAGCTGGGCAGATCCCAGTGAGTCTGCCTGGCGGGGCCAGGAGCCCAGCATGCTGCAGTGGGGCTGCTCAGCCACACTGCCCAGCGTGCCCCAGCTGGGCTGCCTGGGGGGCAGGAGTTGGGGGGGTCCCAGCTGAGCTGCCTGATGGGGGGGGGAGCTGGGTGTGTCACAGTGGGGCTGCTCAGCAAGGTGGGAACCCAGCGTGCTATGAGCTGGGCTACCCCGCATGGCAGGAAAGGGGGGGCAGGGACTGGCAGGGCAGTGGGGCTTGCAGCAGGTTCAACACTGCGGGGCACGCAGAAAGGAGGCCAGAAATGACTTCCCCCAATCCAGCAAAATCCCTCATTTAGGACCAGTGAGGTCCTGAGGTGCTGGATGAGGGACATCCAACCTGTACCATGAATTTCTCACATTGTGCACCACTTTCAAGAGCAAAAATTAAAGTGTGTGATAGTAGGTGTATAGGTGATAGGGCATTTTTCCCATATATTTTTCTATATAGTCTAATCATGGGCCTACAACATGAGAGTGCCTAGGGTAGGGCTGGGCAAAATACAGCCCGGGGGCTGGGTCTGGCCCACCAAGCCACTAGATCCAACCCGCAGACCACCCTGCTGGGACCCTCAGGCACATGCAGCTGCTGCGGTTTAAAACACAGCCTGTGTCTCTCTGCTCTGCAGTCTAATCCTCAGCTCCTATTGGCCAGAAACAACTGGCTAATAAGAACTAACTTCAGCCAATCTCTCAGCTCCTATTGGCTGGAAATAGCCAGCCAATCGGAGCGAGAGATTGGCCTGAGAGATTGGTGCAGTGCAAGCCTCTTCCCCCATCAGGAGTTGAGAGCCACGTGGAGGGAGCAGCCTGTATTTTCAAGCGGGCTGGGGCTGCAACAGGCAGGGAGGCCCAGATTACCATCCAAACCCTCTGCACCCCCTGCCCTAGGTGACAACTCCCTCCCAGATCCTGTACCCCTCCTACACCTGTCCCCCAGGTCGGAATCCTCTCCTGCACCCTCGCCCCAGGTCACCATCCAAATCCTCCGTACCCAGTGACAACTATCTCCCAGAACCTGTACCCTTTCCTACAACCTTCCCCAGGCCAGAATCCCCTCCTGCACCCAAATACCCTCCCAGACTCTGCACCCCAATCCCCTGACCCAGGTCTCAACCTCCTTCCCCACCCAAATACCCTTTCAGACCCCACACTGTCTCCTGCACCCAAGTCCCTTACCCCCTGTGCCCTTCTGCACCCAACCTCCAACCTAGACCCTGCAGACCCTGCACAGAAAAGTACAGGTACAGGCTTCAGGGAATGGGCAGATTCTAGGCCCGTCTGGCATGGACAAGTCCCAAGGGGTGGCTTCCCAGCTAAGGAAGCGCACCTTGCGGTCCCAGCACTGCACCACCAGTACCGATGGCATTAAGGGCAAGTGGCACCAAAACCAGCACATTGCTCCAAAGCTTAGGGCCGCTTAGATCCGTCGGCTCAGACCTGGTACCAGGACCATGTACCAACATCTCTCCAGTACAGATGGCAACCAAGATTCACCACAACAACTCTGTATTGCAGCATACTCAGGTGACTGCACCATCGGTACCAGTATTTTCTCCACTGCACCCATTGACCACACAACAGGAGCTCACGGTTATGTCAGTACTGGGGACTCCACCCATCGACACCGATGCCACGCCTATCTTCAAGGGACTAAGCAGGCTTCCTGCACCCTCTAGGTCAGCCTCACCTTTTCTGAGTGAGGGCGAAGACGACGACAAAATCTTTCTCTCTTCGCCACTCCTCACTCAAACCTATCTCTTAGTAACAGCCATAGCAACAACAGGGCCAAGCCTAGCTATGGCAGCCTTTTCCATGGTTCTCATCCATACCTTTCCTTCAGGTGTGGCAAGGATGGGATCCTTGGAGCCCATTTAGAACCCAGATGGCAGCATCTCAGGCTGTCCTACAGAGTAAACCAGTCAGTGGTTCCAAAGTCTTTGGGATCCACGAGGTCCAGCACCACCGAGGAGAACGTGGAAGATCTGGAGGAGATGCAAGAGGAGGATACTCTCCCTCTTTTGCATCTTTCATCATCCTCACCCGACGAGTCCAAAATGCCCCTGCCACCAACAGCTGGGGATGACTGTAAGTCTTTATACAAAAAGGAAGTTGATTCACTTGACATCTCCCTAGGTGAAGTACTCAAAGTACCCAAAATTGTGCCAGCACAAACTTACTGGCATTCTGCAGGCCTCCGCTTCCTCTTAAATAGCCTCATTTATAGGGAGGGCTATCCTGGATCCTGAAAAAATCATTTGGCAGACCCCAGCCCCTGTATTGCTAAGATGTAAGAGGGCTAACAGAAAATACTGTGTGACAGCCAAAGGTGCAGAGTTTCTGTTCACCCACCCATCTCCCAACTCCCTTGTAGCTGAAGTGGCTCACACCACAGGCAAGCAGATCCACTTCACGTTCATGCTATATGGCCAGTTTCCTGTCCCAAGCTGGTGAAGGTTAGTGAGGATGAGGGAGAGCAAGTGAGGAGGGATGGAATAAGTGGGGGGAAGTGTCTTGGAGAAGGGGTGGATGGGGCAAGGGTGGGGCAAGAGTCTTTGGGCTTGTACAATTGGGTTTTCAAACCTAATGGGCAAACATGTGAAAGCCCTCAGCCATGTCAGCATCCTGCCCAGCACCAGCCAGGGCAGGCACAGCACTGCTGAGCACCACCCAGCATGGGAGTAGCATCGCCAAGTGTCAGGAGGTCTGTGTCCATGTGGGCCCATTGACTGTTCCGCCCTGGGGCCTGGAATTGCTGTCAATGGGCCTGGACTGGCTCTTTTATTGCTCTAGTGACCACTTCCAGAAGATACATTCAATACGGAGCTACTGTACGTTACATAAGACTTTAGAATGCCACTGTCTTAAGGTTTACCCAACATCTTCGACAAAATAAAAAATTTTATTGAACACCTTCCAGATGAAA